TTGCGAAGCCATAGACACAGTGTAATTCATGTCATGCGGCGTTGTCAGAACGGATGGAGCGCAAAAATCGCAACAAACATTCATTTGGAAATGCGTTTGGAACCTTTTTATATTATTATATATTTTTTTCGTCCACAGACTTTGCTGAATTTTTTGTATTTTTTGCTTTTTCGTTTCATCAGCAACCATTATTGCAACGGAAGAGAGAGAAAGAGCGTGGACTGATATCGGTTCGTTTGTTTTTAGATATTAATTAAGCATGATTTCGACTGTACGGATCGGTACGGACCGTGTTGTATTCGTTTCAGTTTTTATAGTGATTCGAAAGAGAGCAAAAACAAGCAGTTCCGATATACATTTGCAATGGTGCAACATTGTTGTGTACATTCACTTTTTGTGCCATGCTCGTCTTTTTCCGCCATTTTTCTGCGCGCATAATTTATGAATGAACGATATAGTATAGTCATTCTTCGAATTCTTATTTTCATTTCATTTTCCCTGCTGCGAGCGTAACTTGAATGTTGTTGTTTTTTTTACATCTTCAAAACTCGCGTAAGATTAATTATTCAGAATCAATTTATTTGAAGAATTTGGACGGCGAATGGAAAATGAAATTAGAACAAATAAGATAACAGATCAGAGCTAGTGGCTGTGGAGCACGTCATGTCGGTGAAACAAACAATTGTGGAAATCGTTTTGAAAAACATCCAATTGCAATAACAATGAATGTGTTTGTTTTAAATTTTATGGTTCGATTCAAAAACTTAAGTTTTCCAGAGATAAAATGCAATCCGAATTGTAAATCCAAAATGCGTACAATGAATGCAATTCAAATTCAGAGAATATGCAGCACATTTTATGCATTATAAACTTTATAATATCCATTTAAATTAAATATGTTAAACTTTAACTGTTCCAAAAATACTACGGTGCAACGAAAAGCGTCGGCAGAAAACTTTGAAATAATAACTTTTTTTTCTTAAAGAAAACTTACTTAATGCACCTTCATTTACGATTACGGTGAATATTTACCTTTACAATACAAAGAAACGAATGATTCTTACTGTCAACATTTATTGCATCAATTTTCTGATTGGCGGCAATCACAGTTCGAAATTGTCGCATTAAAAAAAAACGAAGAAGCGAGAACGTGACAACTTTTTTTTGTGTCTTTTAAATCGTTTCGCAGATTGAAAATCACTGATTCGTATTTACTTTGTAGCCCGTGTGATTTTTTGATGTTGGGCTTCGATCGCACAAAATATGCTCAGTTAACTGAATGGACGTAGATAATAACAGCAATTATCTGTGATATTTTATTAATGTATCCAATGAAATCGTGCGATTAATTTCAGTTGATTCTACTGCGGATGAAATGTTATCTAATATAAAATGAGCTGTAGATTTGTTGCGCAGGAGTTTCTTTTTTTTCGTTCGTCGGTAATCTCTGTGTTTATTAAAACAGTTTACAACCTTCATTAAATTGAATTGAAAGCAATGCAAGCGAAAAAAACCGGTCTCATACATTATACAATATATCTCATTCTTCAACCATTCTGCACCATTTGATTGCACGCAGCACCATGGCAGATTCAAGCCTTAATATATTTGATTCATAAAATTGCATTCATTTTCATTCAAGCAAGCATGTCATCGGGTGCGCACTAAATCATTTCGAAACTCCGCTCTTTTTTTCATCCTCGTTTCGCTGGCAATCGCATCCTAAAATTAATTACGCGAAGCGTACACGGATTTTGTGCTGTTTCCAATGACATTCCTCGAATTCCGCACAACTTTTCAATCCAATTTTTTGCACAAGCTACAATCTCTTGTGTATTCCGGACAATTTCTGAAAATGATTTTAGTATCATTAGCAACTGTCACGAGAGCCAACCAATCCGCTGGAAATATAAACACTAGATAACAATTCTTAAGAAGATGCGAGCCGTGCTACGATCGAACAAGAATATAAGCTACACTAGATCTGCGTGTTTGGTGCAATCGATTTCGAGATGAAGTGTAAAGGCAGCCACTTTATTCTCGGTAGTCGGCGAATATTAATCGCTTATGAGATTACCAGCTATTTTGACTGGATGACATTTACGAATTGGATTCTCTTTAATTGCGCACTTGTTACACGTTTGCATAGAATCAACATCATCAGCAACATCATAAACAAAATTAGTTCAGCCACTTCTTCGCAGTATCGCAAACATTTGATGTGTCATGTGAATTTGGTGTAGCCATAACGTGGCTAAAATACGATAAGATGAATTTATATTTCACAATTATCGCACGGTCTATCTCCTCCGCCAGAATTACAACTCGTATGAAATTGCACGAGACAATCTGAACTGAAAGTTTGATACATTTTACTCCCAAAATAGCCAGTCGTTTTTCTCCCCCTACCTTGAGTTGAGTAGATGTAAACGCACATAAAATGAAATTGCGCACGTTATAAGTGTTTATCGTGCACGAAATACAAGACCAACATTGCTGCAAACGAATATTATTCAAATGAAAATGCGGATTTGAATGTCATGCTACCATTTTTTCTCATTCATAAAAATGATATTTATGGATTTTTTCTGCTCATTGCTATATGACTTTTTATTGCGACAATAAAGTCTGGACGAGTTGTCAAAAAAAAAACAGCGAGAAATATTTGGAACGTGGCCGCCGATCATTTCGGTGGCTCATGTTGAATGTGCGTTAGCAAAGCATCAACCAGATATTCACAAAGGAAACGGAAAAGAATTACATTCTTTGGCAAATAAAAACGAATTAACAATAGCCATTCGTTGTGAAATGTGTTGACAATTGAAGTCTCCTTTTTCTACTCTTTCTTGACTTTTTCCAAAACGATTAAACGTTTTGTCCAATTTGAGTTTGTTCTTATTTCTAAAAAGGTAACATAACAATGGAACAATAACAGAGAGCTGAAGGAAAATGGCAAAAAAACGAAATCCTTTTCAACTTGAATGAATGAAATCAACGTTCGTTTGTACGGAACTGATCTCTTAAGCCAATAAAACAATTTGATTGAATTGCTTGATTTGGTTGTTGTACTCTCATCCCGTTCGCTGTGTCCATGAACTTAGTTTATCGACATGAGTGCCAATTTGTGGCACTCAACCGCAAATCCATTTGTGCCCGATTGTTGTAATGAACAAGACTCTTGTTTATACTTATAAGCATGTGACGGGAATCTTTCATGATTATATGCAATAAACCAAATCTCATGACATTGAGCGAAAAAGTTAGTTGCAGGCGCGTGTGTACAAGAGTTACGGTTTTGGTTGTTGCATGGACTGCAATGAAAATCATTTGCAAAATTACTGCTGCAACAGAGATGTTTCGACAAGCAAAACAATTTCATGTTAAATTATACGAACGATACACAACGCAAAATATCACTACAGATTCACGAATAAAGACTATACAGAATAACAATGGCAAACGGGAGAAAAAAAATAAAGGAGCTCAACGGTCAGATGATTGAAATAAATCTTATTTAAAAATCTCTCTCTCTCTCGTGAGAGTGTATATACTTTTATTATTTGCATGTCAATTGCTTATTTCGAATTGAATATTATGCAGAGCGCATGTCATACAACCAAAATGCCATTCGTTTGCAGCAAAACGAAAGAGAGACTGTATCAGTTTCTGCGAAAAGAACACCGAAATTGTGTTGCATGGTCGAGTAAATATATCACATCATTTTACATTTCGATACCCAGAGTTTATCTCTCTCTCTCTATCTCTCTTTTTTTCACTCAGCAAATGTACAAGACAATCACAACAAAAGAAAGCCCCATAAACAAAAGCAATTCCCATTTGGAATGGCACAGAATGAAATGGCATGTACAATTGTACATACTGAATTTATGCAACAATCACATTCAATCATCACATGAAAAAAAATGAATTAACCGCTCATAAAACCCAAATCTCGCTCTACAGCATGGGCACATCGTCGAAAGTTTAGACTCTAAGCCCGATCGATATCCATACACATATAACGTAGTCTTCGGTTTCGGGCACTTTATGTGGCTGGTTTCGAATTGTGTGTTGTCAGTGCTTCGTTGCACAATTTTATAATTTAATAGAAAAACTGAGATACGTACGGGTCTCAACAGTTTTCACATCCAGGAAATCGATTTTCATTCAAACCAGATGCAATTTGAATATTTACAAATGTGTTCGGCTCTTAATAAAACTCGAATAAAATATATAATTTGTTTTGCATTTAAATTTGCATCAAATTTTTGAGTTCTTTTCAGAAAATGTACGATATATATGCAGGAAACTACAAAAATAAACTGTGTCTCAAAGTAAAAGATCGAGTGACGAAACCTATCGAAAACCACACGTGTAATACAAAATTATTAATATTTTGTGGTAGTGTTGATAATTAATAAAAACTCCACTAGTTAATTTTACTTTAAAATAAATATTATTTAATGAATCGTATGATGGATTACAGCTGCGTAGTTCTGTCTAATGCGTGCGAGTGCGGACGATGCGCTACGATGTTCACTGGACGGCGGTCAATCGATAAGAGAGCGATCCAATTTTCGTTCCGTCACTCGCTACCAAAAAACTACTATAATTGTGACAGAAATTTGACAATGTGTTTCATTTGTTTTTATGCATCTGGTAATATTTAGTACCAAATTTTAATAGCAGTGAAGCTGCCACAATTTTGCTGAAAAATTACTATCACCAACCATATCACCAATAATTTTTGCCACGAAGTGACAGACATGTTTTTCTTTCTATTGAAACAATACGTTCCAAGGGCTTGGAATGTTGGAATTTTGTTTTCTACGTAACTCTAGAAACTTTTGACATCAATTTTATTCGTTAATGTAAATATTTGTGATACATGCGCTTCAATTTGTTGATGAAATGCTGGAAAATAATGTCGAAAATATTTAAGAATAAATGATAGTCATGATGGTATGGAATCATCATTGACGCACATCTTTCCAATTCGCGTGAAAAAATGCCGTGTATATAAAGGAATCTGTCGCCAGCAATAATCAATTAGTTCTCAGAAGACACAGGGGATAAAAAATGGAGTCGTTTTCAATTTTTCCGCTCTTGGCATTATTGCTGTGTGTTCAGGTATATTATTTTGAATAAACATTTCATATCTTTTTCATCAACTTTTCTTCTTTTTTTTATTTATTTAGTCGATAAATGGCCAGGATTTAAGTTTTGATGTATTTCTTGACACCTATTATAACAGAGCGAATGCTTCTGGAAATAATATACCAGAAAATTTGGAATTCATGCGTGAAATATCTTTGAACATCGATCATATTCGTGACCAATTTTCGCGTTGTGCGCAGACACTTGCCGATGAAGAAGGTAAAGCGAATCTGTTGTCCAAGGTGCCGGCAGGCTTGAAAGTAAATGGATTGGATGGAGTTGAATTTTGGACACATAGACTTTCAAACGTTAATGGAGGACAGAAGTTAGTTTGGGAAACACACCAAGGAATCATCAATGAAATCGATTCCGTCTTACCCGTACATATCGATCCGCATTTCTATAATAATTTCTATAATTGGTGCCACCACCCCTTTGACGGTGAACAGTGTGCATTAATTCAGACAAAATGGTTAAAATCCATGGCAGGAATACACTCAACATTTGGTGTGAACTTGGACAAAGTGACAAAGGAGGTATTTGAAGTAAAAGAGACACTTTCAAAAAATATCAGTCAAGCCAATGATTGGTTCGATGTTATTTTAAATGCTAATACGAAGCCTGCCAAAGTGTTGGAGGCTTTTAAAAAAGTCGAACCATTCACTAATACCATAACAAGTGTACAATCACTGTTGTTGCCAAAACTTAAAAATGTGAAAAAACTTCTAAATCTGTACAATCAACAGAGAACTATATGGGCTAATTTCATGATGGGACTCATAACCAATCCCGACAATGTTTTTAAAAGACGGCATTGAATGATGCTAATAGAAGAACGATTTTATTTTCGGCCTGACATTACATGCAAATTCTGCAAAAAAAATGTGTATAAATTTTATCAAAATTAACATTATTCGTTTTGTATTCAAGAATGTTATTTAAAGAAAATACTGAATAAAACACATTTAGGTTCTGTCAGCCTAACAAAAAACATATTTCCCCAATTGTTGGTTTTTATTTTTTTTATTTTTGTTCAAACAAATAAGCCTTCGTCACTCATCCAGTTTGTCGTCAAATGTGATAAAAGACTGAAATTTAAGTCAAGCTTTTATACTTTGAATTGAGAGCACCGTTGAATTTCGCAATACGCTATGTAAATTGACTTAAAATACAAAAGTATCTGTGTGTTAGTGTCCCTTATATACATCTCAGTCATTCTGTTGGTTTTATCTCTCGTTTGATACATACAATTCTAATCGGTTTGACGTAAGTGCACATATTATAAAATTTATTGGCTTTTGCTTGTGCGAAACAATCGCCTGTGGATAACAAAAAAAGGAAATTGAAAGTGTATGTCTGTTTTTTAATTCGATTTATTATTGTTCGCTATCCGGACCCGGCTATTCAATGATTGTCTAAAGTGTTAACTCCTGACGCCAGTTTTAATCATTTCGTAAATCGGAAAATTTCGCCGACCTGTCTTTTAATGCGCAGACAACATAATTATATGACTATTGTGATAGAGTGAATATGTGAGATTAAAATTGAGTGACTCTCGAAATGTCGCCACATCAATGCATTGATGTGTGATATACAATACGGTAATCCATTCGTCAGTGTCTGAGCCAATCCCCACGCGCGCACATACATTTTGATGTATGTGCAACGTAATGTGAAGATTTATCACATTCGTCGATTGTATGTGTCTTATCGAAAATCAAACGGCAATTTACAAATTGTGAACACTTTTTTTACAAAGTCCAATTTACACATTGTGCACGCGTGACGGCTTAACTCTAGGGGACGGAAACCATTAGCTAGTTTTTTTTTGTTTCAAGTAAAAACTAGGAAAATTAGAAAAAAACTAGCAAAAACTAGAAAAATTAGCAAAAATTATTTGACCCGCCATTTTGATATTGTGCCATGATTTGGTAACTAAATCAATTTTACAAGTCGACTATTGAAAGATACAAGTATTTTTGCACGATTTTGTGTTAAAAAAGAATAATTAAACTAATTTTTACTATTATAAGTGTATAATTATTCAAAACACATAAAAATATGTCTGAACAACTAAACGTCAAAATACTTCATTGTGTCAGTACAATCATTTGATTGTCATTTGACAGAACAAAAAACTAGAAAACTAGCAATTTCATAAAGAAATATTAGCATTATTAGATTATTCAAGCAATAAACTAGTAAATTAGCTAAAAACTAGTAAATTAGCTATAAACTAGAAAAACTAGCATTGGTTTCTCTCCCCTAGGCTTAACTTGAAGCTCATAAATTTACATGCATTTTACAATCATAAAAACATGCTGTATCCACATTGAAAATTATTTGTTAATTTATCTTATCATCGTTCTTTCGATATATTTCGTGCTCGGTGTCGATAAACGTTTTTTTTTTTTGCGTGATGATTGAGCGCAAACGGTTTTGAAACAAAGCGCTTAACAAGCTGCAAAAGACATGTTTTACCGGCAAAGTGATTAAATAATGCATGGCACGATACACGATCTTAACCGTTAAACACATACATATTGAGAGGAATAAAACTGTATCTAGAGTATAAATTTTGTGCGGTTAACGCTCTTTCTCGCTGCCATATCAAATTGTATTGCAAAATTTACATCAAAACATTGTAACGCATCGATTTCATGTCACATACTCGCAATCTTGCTCTCTCTCTATCTCTGTTGTATGTGGAAGTGTTTTAACAGTCATTGGGCCGAAACGAAAACCGATAAGAAACAGCGAGAAAAAAATTATAAAAGAAAACACACGACTGTAACAAATCAGAACCTAATTTACGTAATTAAAACGAACACATTAAACATCTAATGAACATGCATTTGGTGCTCAGTCTTTCGCAAATTGTAAATAGCACTTTAATCTCGGCTTTTTTTTCGCTTAATAAAATTGCTTCCTTTCTCTCTCTTTATCTCTCTCGTTCGGTGTATTGCGTTTGGAACGACCGTGTTTCATTCGACTTTATTCAACGTGGTGAATTTTTATTTTGGCATGTGAGTTGATGGGTCGTTTCGGATCGATTAAAACAAGGAATTCTTTTACGAGTAAATGTATTGCGATTTTTTTTGTGCCACGACGTCCAAGATTATCTGCGATGACCTTTTACTAGCCGTACATCGATCGAGTCGACAAAATGTGCTTTGGTTCATTGAACAAACGATTGGGATTTTTCGTAATTCACATCTTGGTTGCGCCTTGACGATCAAACAAAGATGTACTTAGCAGATTTTCTTAGTTTTTGATGTCAATTTTACACGAGACGCGCATTTTCAAGCAACGGCACAGAGCCAAATTCACTAAATCCATATCAGATAGACGATGCAAGACGAGAAAAGTGCATTTGTTTTTCGTCTAACTGGCTACCAAGTAAAATGCAAACTGAACAAAAAAAGAAATGGACATAATACGAAGTTTCGAGTGAATGTCGAAAGCGAAGAAAAATCCAACAAAACCAATTTTCCTTGATAAAAAGCAGGAACGACACAAAAAGCCAGAAGTTGAGCAAACGGGTTTTCTTAGTTGAGAATATGTGTTTTTAGCGAAAATGATGCCATTGATAAGAGTGGTTTTCTGGCCAGCCATCGTCTCGCCAATGTATGCTATGTGCACACTCAATGGAATTATCATTCAATAAATAAAACATTGTCAAAAGTGCCAAAATCACAAAAACAACAGCCACAAAAAAAAAACATTGTCATTTCAATTAGATAAAAAACATGTACATTTCGGAAATGCGAGACACAATGCCACGATCACAACTACCACGACGACGACAACGACAACATACATAAATGTACTGAATAACAGAAAAAAAGTACTCATATAAAAACGCCCAAAACTATATCATATTCGCGACAATAAAGACCAACTAAGTGCCAAAAATAAGCGGCAGCGACAACGCCAAACGAGCAAGTAAGAAGTTTATATTTGTTAGTATTTAAGTTTGTTCAACAATTTTCTTTGTGTCTCTTTTTTCTTCACGTTCTTATTTTCAGTGGATAAATTGAAATAAATAAAACATTTAACGACTTTTGACTTTGGACGAAGACAAACAAACAAACAATTCATTGTGAACGACAGAAAGACACAAAGTAATGTTGAACAATGAAGAAGCACAATTTCGAGTATTTTATGAGAGAGAATATACCGATTACATCCAACAGCTCACAAAAATATTGCATTTCTGATTCACGACATTGTTCAATCAATTTAATGGCAGCAGTTGTGAGCACGTTGTCATCGATTTTCGTTTCAAATTGTGTGAGTGATTGTGTTTGAATGCATTTTTCGGGTGAATTTTGCCAAAATTGACAACACACGCTGATTATTATTATTAGATGAAGGAGGAAGAGCCGACGGAAATGGTGCCGTTTTTTCTCTTTTTGGATATATTTTTTTCAATCAAAATACTTCCGTTTTGGCGATCAATAACTGTTACACTGCCAAACTGTGGCCAATCGTTTGATTTTTTTTTTCGTTGGACATTCGATTCATAACAGATTGCTGTCTTTCCATTCAAACCAGTACACGGAATCTGACTGTGCAATTTTTCAAATAGAATTTTTTTTTCGAACGAGCCAACATTGACATCTGTTTGTGTACACACAATGTGCACATAGAATTGTGTTTGGCAAGTGAAGAATGGTAATAATAATGTGTGCATAGCATCACGTACAATGACTTTAAAGCAGCACATAATTGCTTGTCATGCACTCGAGCACGCACAAACTTAAATCAATCATCGTGTTCAACTCGGCGAAACAATGCAATGCATTTCAACAACGTTTGATGATAAAAGAAGACAACATTAGAAGCGAAATAAAAAAAAACACCTTTGGGTCTTCGCTTTTATTCATCACCTGCCTTCTCATTATATGAACCCTTCTTGGCATTCGATCGATAGCGCGACGTGACGAAAATAGCTCAACTGAATTTCGCCGAATGCACCATGATGCGTCTTCGCTTTTCGTTCAATATTGTCGATGACTAATTAAACTTTGTTGATATATTTAATAGATAGCCTTCTTCAAAAGTCACTTCCGGTTAAAACAAAACACTTTAATCGAATTCCTTTGAAAGTTCAATAGATTACATTACATAGGAGTAATGACATCGTTTACTTATCGTTAAATTTCCAATATAAAGTAATTGCCTTTTTTGTAATCGAAACTTTTTAAATCGAGTTTCGGTTCTCATACGCTCACGGGCATTAGTTTTCGATTTTTGCAACATTTAACATTTACATAAGGTAATAAAGTGTTTGTACAACGGAAATTAGGTTTATTATTGTCGCTGTTTATGAATATACAGAAAGTGTCGATAACATAGTTTCTTGTTGTTCTCACACGGCCTTATCTTGAATTGATGGCGCAATAGCGAGACGCATTTTCTGTGGAGGAGTTAATTTCTTTGCATTAAATGTCAAACGATGTTAGTTGCTATATTTATACATTGTCTGTAACTGGGATGTTGTGCAACATCGATCCATTTCAAAATCATAAAAAATGGGGAATTTTTTTTATAGAGGTTCTCTCGCTCTATTATTATGCCAGTTAAGGAATGCAATGTATTTGCAATGATAATGAATACGATCTCTATTATGATCTAAATAAAAATGCCATTCATGATTGTTCAATAGATTGTGCCGATGTGGCCACGATGGTGGAGATAGAGAAAGAGAAAGAGAGAGAAAGAGAGTAAAAAAGTGGACGCAAGATGCAATAAGGCTATTATACCGCTATTCATTTTCTCAATTGATCAATGGACTAATTGACGCCCAAACGGGTGAACTCAAGAGAGCGCGTCTAAAGTCTTTAATAAAATTTCCGATGGTTTTTATTCACTCTTCTCATGGCAGAAGACATCAACATAATTTAATAAACATAAAAATGAAGCCTTTTTTAACTTGGCAATAAAAAGGC